TATATATATACCTATATATATATATATAATTATAATATATGAAATTTATAAATTTTTAAAAATTAATAATTGATATAATTAACTTGAATTAGCGTTTTTGTAAATAAACGCTTAATAGCCGACCACGTCGTTATTTTACACCGCGCGCATTATGTTTTTCTCGATTCCCGCAGAGCCGTGTGCGTTGCGTATTACTCGGTTGACTCGATCAACTCTGTATTGCAACCGAATTCATTAAGCGATTCGAAGAAAGAACGCAATGCAGTATGTAGCAATAACTGTCCGTATATCTAATGTACCCAGCGCATATCGTTCTCTCTTAAACGTACAACGATCGAGAGTCCGGTCCGTGAATGAGACAATATTGGTGGCGTGCGAGTCCGCCTGCCTGTCCTCGGCTTACCACTTTTGTGTTAGATTTACCTCACGTCTATGGTATTTCTCGCGTTTAAATTGTCTTTGAGGATCGCGGCATACAATGCGAGAAAGGAGAAAAAAAAAGAGATTCTTAGTCAAATGGGGTGAGTCGTCATACATAAATGTCAAACACACGCTGACCGACTTATAGAAAGTACGGACAGATAGGTGTGCGCTGAGGCCGAGTTTCCGGCGCGGCACGCCAGACAGTTAAATTCACCGTGAATTCGTCGGCAAAAACTCGCGCTACTTTGTTATTGATTCTTTCGGGTGATCGTATCTAATTTTATCACAATCCTGTTTTCACGATATACAAAACGGGATTTGCGAGCGAATTGTGCTCCGCGAATGAACGCCTTACCACTCTGAGAGATTATTCCACGTGTCTCAAAGATATTATTAAATAAGTATTGTTGTATTAATTGAATTAAATTTAATTCAGTAATATAAAAATAATTGAAATAAAAACGCGCGAAAACGTGTCGTTTATGAGCAAGTTAATGGAATCATTTGAATCGCACTGATAATTATGTGTTTAGTAATGTGGCATTTGGAATTAGAAACTTTTTAATGGATAATTTGCTGAAGCCGCATTTACTTATTTTTAAATGTCAAAGATTTCATTATTAAATTCATAATTAAATGTCAAAGATTACATTATTAAATAAAAGAAGAAACAAAAAAAAGATAATTTTTTTGTTACAATCTAATGTTTAATCAAATTTTAAGTTTTAATTAAGTCTTGATCCATGACATTACTTGATTGATGTTGAAATGATTGTGTTATTTTTTACAACTTTTATATGTCATGCTAATTTCGCGATTAACGTATTGTAGTAAGTACGTGGGGTTTCCCGGACTGGATAGCTTACTAGAATTTTATTCTTTTTACTCTCTTATTTAAATGCCAAACATCTGGCAACTTGATTAGCCATAAGTAGGAGTATTTTTTGTTGATATAATCTATTCGTCAACCTTTCACGACGACAAATTGATTGGTTTAAAAATCTTATACATACAAATAAAAATGCGCGCGCTCTAGGAAAGCGATCGGATCATCGTGTCTCTCAACTCTTCGAACCTTTCGTTTCGTTTCGTTCCGCAAAGTTATAATTTTTCGAGCAGAACTATGAATTTTCGGTCATTTATTCGGCCCGTTTAAACAATCAGATATCTCTTTTAAGTCTTTCGCGCATGCAGTAGTCGATGTGGCAATACCCCGCGATACGTGAAAGATTAAATGGCCGCGTATCTACAAATCTCTCTCATTCGATTCAAAGCGCTTTCGTCATCGAAGAAACTTTTTTTTTTCCTGAATACCCGCGGTATCCCTATCTGCGCGTTCTCGTCTTGCGACGGAACCCCTCGAGGGAATGCGTCGCGAGGCGGACACAAAACGAGTCCGCTGGCGCGTGGTACGTATACACCTGTACTTCGGCCGGACACATGCAGCCGGCATGTAGCGAATCGATGGTCTTGCGAGATAAACTGGGATAGGTTGAGGCATATAGGTGAGGCTTCGCAGGTATGCGGCCGGTTCGTGGTAGCTCGCGGCGACGACGACGACGGCGACAAAGATGATGGTAACGGCAGCGGCGGCAGTCGCGGCGGTGGCGGCGACGAGGATGACGATGACTGCGGCGGCGGCGACGGCGGCGGCGGCGGCAGCGGCGGCGACCCGCGATGATGATGACGATGCTGCTGGTGCTGGTGATGGTGGTCGCGATGATGGCGATAGTGGTGGCACACAGGTGCCGTATGGCATATCGGAATGCCAAATTGTTGCGCCATTGCCAACGTGGTTGGCCGAGTTCGGCGGCCGGCTTAAAGCGAGGTCTAGTCGAGTCGAATTGCCTAACGCGCGTTGTACTTTTCACTTTCCCTCCTACCCCTACCTATATACCTACGTGCGCCTGGCGTGAAATTTTGCTTAGGTAGAGACCAAGAGATTGACCGATCTAACGAACACCGACCGGCCGATGGCCCAGAATCCGCGAGCGATCGCGGGTTCGCGCAATTCGCGTATCCGGGCCGGCCGCGCCGCCCGCCGCCGCGCCGAGCCGAGCCGAGCCGCCGGTTTTTCGAACGTGTGCCCTCTTTTCTTCAGCGGCGGCGTAAGCCGATTTTAGTCGGTCTCCCGATTAGTGGGTACGGTACTCCGCGTTCCGCCGACGACGAGAACGGACTCCGCCGACTTTTTTTTCCCCCCTGCACGTCTCTCGCGGCGCGAGGATGGCTTGCAAAATGTTTCCTGCAATTGTCGTAATTTTGGCCGGTCTTTGGTCATTCGATTTATGGGCATTATTCCTCGAGCTTGCACTTTGCGAAATATTTTATCGAAATATTTTCGATTTCGTCCTATAATAAAGAATTCTATATTTCTTTTTGATTGAATTATGTTGTAACATGTTGTATAATATTACATTATAATATAACATCGTGTTACATTTAATTGGAGAAAATAAAAATTTTTGGCTATAAATTTTGTATATATTATAATACACGCAAGCTAATTGAATTTTGGAAATAACTCTTCTAAATGTTCAGAATCCATTTAAACATAAAATACTTCTCTTGAAATATTTTAAACGATATGATACCGTAAAAAATTTATTTTAATAGTATAAGCAGGATAATAAGATAATTTGGATAATCTTGCCCAACAGAATGTAATACTTTTTACTCAAGAGTAAACAACATTTAAAAGCTATAAATTTGAAACGTATTATTCTCGCGCAATTTGTTTTAAAACCTACGCAATGTATTTCGTTATGAGTTTCGTACACACACTTGCTGCCTCGTGGATTACGAAGTTCGAGCCGGCAAGTCAGTTGCAATTTTACCCATTAATTTAAAGGCGCGCGATTGATTTAAAGTCATTATACGATCATCGCTGCGGCGAGAAACGGCCGCGGCGATACCTGTTTCGGAACCTAAACTCTAAAGTGACACGCAAGAAAAACCGGCAACGGAATTAACATTTGCCCGGTAGTCTTTAATGCGACGCGAGCGAGGGAGGGATCTACTTTTAATTATCGAAATTCTCGATCTCGGATTTCCTTCAATTAATTACACTTTAACCAATTACTACACATGACTTTACTTCAACTACTCTCTCGAAACCCACGGATAAATAAATTCATTTGCATCACCTGCGTAATTGGTACTCGCCGCGGGTGCTCGATTCTCATCTGGAAAGCCTATAACTGTTATTGGCAACGGAGGCATGTATACATATTGCGTATCGAAAAATAGATTCGTAGGAGGAAAGCAAACACACTACACACGCCTCGGCGGGCGATTAGCATATTTCACGTATTGCCGATGTGCACCCTTTAAATCTTTAAAGCGGCACTCAGTGGGTCAGTAGTGCCGATCCATTCACTTTCAACGACGCGGGTTATTATCGGCGCGGCGCGAAACCCGACGCGTTGTGCAAGAAGAAGGTATCAACCGCGAATCGGTTTTGATCCGCGGACGGAAAGAAAGAAAGAAAAAGAAATAGCTCACGCTCACCACTACCGATTCGCGCTCGCGATTCGGAACATTGAGTCACGTGTGTTGCATTTTTCGCGCGTTGCACTCGCGCCCCGGAGTTCGTTTCGTCCAGCATTATTGCGTACAACACACCGCGCGCGTACAGCGGCGTGTATATACGAATCGGCAAACATCGGACATACACACCGGCTTAAATTATACGCCGCGTAACGAGAGAAGAATTCCTTTCCTAAAAGATAGTAATTTTTTCCAGATTCCTTTTACGTCAAACGTATAATCCGTATTAAATTGATCTGTATAATTCGGGGGCGGCCCTCTGTATCGCTATGATTTTCCACGTTAAATCATGCTTAAAATTGTATGATTACATATTATACAAAAGATTCCGGCTGTCTTTCTATATTTTCAAGATTAGATCTAAACGCACCCAATTTAAAAATTGCGCGTGCTGTTTGTTTTAACTTTAATTCTTAATTGAAGCTCTCGAAACGATAGTCATAAAAACGATAGTCAAGTTTATTCGTGCCTTAAGAAGAGATGTTATTGATTTCGATTTAAATGGCACTATTTAATATAATTGCACATATTGACGGTTGTCTTAATTTGAATTTTCCTTAATTCTTAAATTCAAGTTCATCTGAGAAACGAAAATGGATGAGTGATTCGTTTAAAAAGAGACGCGACTCGATTGACTTATACTCACCAATTGTACGGTAGTTAGATGCTTCTTCCACCATAAGTACTTCTGATATTCCGGGCCCATGGCCGCCAACATGTAATACGCGTACATTACCACGTGCACCGCGTTGTTTATAAGATTGCCCAGGGTGCCGTGTCCGCCCGCGATAAATTTCACGCAGATCCACGTCTCGAGGGGTGTGAGAGAATGGTGATACAAGTGCAGGAATGTCACCTGACTGTCCTTCTTGCGCAACACGAAGAATATCTGAAATTTCGACGCGTAACGTTGTTACAACATATTGCGATTTCCCGTAAATTTTCTGTCACTTAGCTTGGATTTAGATGACCTATATTTATTAGCTTATAATTTAGGATCGTATCCACTTCCCCTGCCATAACCTATGTCAATTAAATTGAAAGCAATATTAATTACAAATGCACGAAAGTGTTCGGGAATTAAAAATTTAAATTAGAGAAACAGCATTTTTTATTAAGAAAAAAAATTAAGGCGCTAAAACTTGCGAGATTTGTCATAAAATAAATTAAATTTTTGTTAATTTAAGTTTATTAGACATAATTTATTGTTATTTAATTTTAATTAATTAATTTATTTGTGATTCAATATCCATTTGTTAATATTTTCAAATAAAATAATGGAATAATTAAGTTAAAAAAAAAGTCAATTATTCAATTTGAAAAGAAGATATTTCACTGTCGTGTTAATTGCCGGTAATGCGAGACTCTCGCGCGAGCTGTATCTCCTGGAAAATATCTACGTTCATTAACGAAGCGCGATGATTTTCGTCATCCAGGCACGATAAAGCGAGATAGTGGCAACACACGCCGCGCTGTCAAAATTGAGCAACGAATGATGAAAAAATCCGTTTCACGATGATTCCTACGTTCGAATTTCGTACAAACGCTGTCGAAAGTCTTAAGCACTCTCTCTCTCTCTCTCTCTCTCTTTCTTTGGTTTTTTCGTTTTGCTCAGGTAGCTAAACACTCGCTTTGTGAATTGTCGGTTTATTCGGCCAGAATATCTAATAAACGAGTGGCGATCGGTCGATTAAATCTTATCTGCTCTTTTGATCCGTCGGCGCGATTGCGTGCTCGACCTGGCGATTCGGCGCCGCTCCTGCTCGCTCCTGCAGTAATGGAAACGATTGCTTAAGGGTTATTACGCCGCGAGAAGGGATACACGAGCGTTCGTACATAATTATGCGATTCTCGCGGAATAGCGCTAGCGGGAAATAGTTTCCCACCTTCTCTCTTTCCTCTACCTTTCGGTCTGTTTACTGTGCGTCTACGCGTGTGTACGTACATTCGTCGAAAACGCAAGAGCAGCGTTCACCAGTTTGCGGTACAACAAACGGGAGATATGCAATATACGTTTTTCTTGGTTGACTGCGCGCAATTTTCGTGAGAAAAGTAACTTTTGCGCGCGCGAATTAAGAATACGAAAGCGTAAGCGGATAATAGAGCATTTCTCGCCCCTTTAACTAGATTCGGTCTAACAGAATTTTTACATTTCACGCGGCTGAAAACTGGTTTCGGCTGCTTTGCATAGAGATAACATGGTGTATCGATGACATTCCGTTCCATTTCCGAACCTGAGGTGGACATTTTTAATAAGTGAACCTCGTTTTTACACTCGGGATACTGCGGATAAAAATGCGGATGCCAAGATTAATTGTTTTTTTTTGTTCTCTTATAAAACATGGGAAAGTTTCACGTGCCTTAGAACTGAAAAACAAATTTTATTAATATATGCGTTATTCTCTATGGGGATAATGCAACTCGTGTGTGTAGCATAATTTTGTGCTTTGCCGTTTTCGTATCTATATACGCGCATGGACTTAATTAATATTATTCGTATCACTTTGGTTTTAAACTAAAGAAAAATTGGCATTGATGAATTCGCAAGCTTTGTATGCGATTACCGCCGGCTGGTTATTTACGCAAATTTATGAAAGTGAGCCGTACCGTGTCAGCGAATTCCGTGAATTTGCTGATGAAGTACCACCAACAGAGGTTCGCCATCCTCAGAGCGGATGGATTGTGGGAGTAATCGACCGGTTGACATTTATAGCTGTAGTCCAACAGCCATCCGGACATTAAGTGCTGCAAAAGAATGTAGGAAACAGACACTCGGTTAGACATATTAATTACCCTCGGACGGAACAACGTCGATTGCTCGCCCTCGTAAAACGTCGAAGATAATCGATTACCGCAAATTGTTTATTTCAACATTAACAAGAAGGTTTATAAACGCTTCGAAGCCAGACATAATATGGCCTGACGTAATGTAATTTCGTGTAATGTCTCGGTTTGAGCAAATATTTGTTTTATTTCATCACGTTGTGAAAAATGGTAACAGGGTTTTTTTTCTATCGGCGCGAGAAATGACGAAAGTAAAACACAAATTACAAGGTACAAACTGGAAGAGGAACAGAACAATTCAATTTCGATAATCTTTTTAGAGATGTGTCTTATATATCTTTTTATATTACATCCAATATGCAATCGCAGTCTGTAATTGTGTCATTGGCGTCTTAAATTTGACATCGCTCTTTCGTTGTTTTTGGTGTCCTCGATTCAGTTATAAATCGATCGGAAAGTCCACCTTGAAAAGACCGTGTTACACACGTGTTACATATGTTACCAATTTTCATACAACGAGTGACAGCAAGTATAAATCAGTTTCAGGAGAAACTCCTAGGTTTTGAGGCCACGTTCTATTTAACGCGTGCGATCTTTAAAAAAATAAAACACGTTAAAACGATACTCATCTCAACGTTGGCTCTTTCCCATTCGATGATGATTAATTCTTTCGTTGCACATGGTTCGAGCTGTAAGCAGCTGTCGTGATGAAAATCACGAGAGTTCTAACAATTCTACGGTTTGATAATAATTCCATTTACAATATTTCCTCTTCCGCACAGACGGAAGTCGTGGTTACGCGATTTCTTATCTCCCGTCTAGAGCGACATCCGCGAATATAATCAGACTGCAAAGTCTTAATTATGTAAACAATGTAAATAATAATCGGGATGTACGAGTGAAAATTAAAAATCTATATCCCATTTTAATTTTTACGATTAACGCAAATTTATTTCGACAGCAATAAGAAAGTTGTAATTTATGCGATATCTACAAATAAGGTAAAGAAATGGAGTTGAGATTAAGTAGCAAAAGTCAATGTCAATTGAGTTGTGGAAATTGATAAAGTGAACGCATACATGTGTATGCATAATTATGATCCTAATCGCGTGAATTTTACTCGACGCTTTTCTGTTCTTTTAACTGCTTATTAATAAATTATCGTGATCTTGATTTTTTATCGTTCGAATTAACTTCTGCGTAATTGGAAATAGATGTAATTAAATAACTTTATACTTTATTTAATGTTTTACAGAAACTTGGCAAAAAAAAATAAAAATATAGTTTTTAAGAAATTCTCGTATTTTTAAATCAAATTTTCATTCTTTTAAGTAGGATGTAACATTAAGCTAAATTTTTAGGGCTGATTTTTTATCTTGATTGCAGTTAATAGTGATGATATTTTTATATGCCGTTTTGTTTGCTCCAAAGAGAAGGAGCCGTCACGATTTTTACGTTTCAAAGCGAATCAAAACTATCGGATAACTCTGAACGGGCCGAACTGTCTTGGAAAAGCTGTGCTATTTTGCGTATATAAAAAGCTTTCCTGACCGACTCTCTAACAGAAGCAGCAGTTATTGCGGTTAGTCACTCCTGCAAAGTGCACTTTCGCGCGGATGCAACCGTTCATTATCCATTCCCTGGCGCGTGAAAATTCGTTTTTTGTTTGACCTTCCGCACGGAGTTTTACTTTGTCTTTTCGATCATGCATGCTTCGTGGGAGTGGTGTAAACTCAGTACTTTATGGAAAGTCGAAAAGCACAGGATGTCTTCTTGGTAATGAAACGAGTGTACCTATCGATCGATTGAGTAACGAATGAGATTTAGCCACTGGGAAATACTTCAATCCTTGTGCATCTTTCTCCGTCTCGTTTGAGATTGCTGTGCTCAGAAAGTGTGATAAATATTTTAATATTAAATAAATATTTTGATGTACTTAATATAAATGTAAAATCCGCCGAATCTTCTTTAGAATATGCATCTCGGATATTATTTTAAGTTAATATAACTGATTAATATATAAAAATATAAACGTATGTCTAGAAAAAAATTGTGTTATATTGATGCATGAAATTTGCGAAAATATTAATATGGATGTAGAATGACTTGGCTTTGTTTTGATGGAATGCAGCTATTTGCTCGTTTAAATGACGCAAAACAGTCGGCCATTAGCAAGTGGAATAACTCGCTGCGGATTAATATTCTTATTAGACATTAGTATTCTTATTCCAGAAGCAAGCATTGCATTTTGACAACTATGTCTATACTCTATAAGAATAAAATGTAGTATATTTGCTAACAAAAAGTCTGAATACAGTTGATACTTATTGTTTGTAGGTCAAGGCTACTGACAGAGAAACGGAAATCTTCGGAATTAAGTAAGAAAGTTGATAAAATCAAAACTGATGATTAATCTAATGTCATTATTTTATAGCTACGGTTTAAAAAGTACGGTAATAAAATAATTTAAAAGTCGAAAAGAAAGAAAAGAAATGTTTACAAAATGGTAAAAAAAATGTGGGGTAAAAAGTACTGTAATTAGTAATAAAATTTTACTTCTAAATGCCTAATTGATTGATTGTTATCGAAATATTATCGATGTTTTGCTCACGTCAAAATTAATTATAGCTTTTGAAGAATGATTCAGTCACAAGTTAAGCAACTTATAATTAAATGTTTTTCAATTCTTAAATATTCCTTTATTTATAATAGTTTCTATACTTTTTGTGATATGGACTTTGAAAGATTACTGCTTTTTATAATCGCGTTTTTATAGAAACGTTAGTATTTTGTCAGTGAACGGATATGTGTCTAATTAAATTTCACCGCCTATCATCCATGACTGATCAATTTAAAAATCTACGATTTGCGGTGAATCTGAATTACTAATTAATTATAATATACAATTAAAGGATGAATCTAATCGATCATTATTAATTAAGACACAAATTGAATTAAACTTAATACGAAGTGATTGAAAATAATTAATCAAAATGTCCGTGCAATTCGTTCCACACAAATGCGTATCAAAATATGAAAGTCAATGATCGAGGTAACGAATTTTTAACTAGGTACTTTATCCTTTTTCTTCCTCAATTCAGTCAACTTCAATCCAGCCACACCAGGAACTAGTTGAAAACGTGTTCAAAATTTAAGATTCTATTTGGTTTCTTCTCACAATATTTAAATTTACATTTTAACATATTTATTAAGCCATGATTACGAGTTTCTCTATGATTATAAATCAATGTGTGTGTGTGTGTGAGTGTGTATGTGTGTGTGTCACTTTTAACTTCGCGAGCACGCGATTTGCATAAGCGTTACAGTTCCGATACAAGATAATAAGATAAGAGAACTTACTTAGCATATCTAATGCGCTTAATTATCTGTGTGGGAACTAAGGCTCGGCGAAGCTTAATTATATGATATATGAGAATGGCGCTTCGTTCGGCCACCACACTGGATATAGGATAAAACGCGATTGACTCCGCGCGCGATATGATCGACGAAGTTCTAGGTCGAAGTCTCTTCCTGCATGGATTCTTTGTCAACGATTACAACGATTCTATTCATCACATCTCCTTTCACCGTCACACTTTGTTAGCCGTGTGTCGATCTCGCGAACGAGGACTTATTCGTGTGCAGGCCGTGCAATATGTGCATTCGCTTTGATAGTTCCATAATCCTCCCCTCTCCCCCCTCCCCTCCCCCCCCGCGATTAGCCATCCGATCATTTTCGATCTCGAATATGTACGTACTATACCGGCGGCATACTTACATCGTGACCTATATAAACCAGTAAGTTGTCTGACCGGCTTCCGACCGCCAGCCGCGAGTCCCCTCAGATCCCGGCGGATCGTCGGCGCTCGTGAACTTTGCACGTCATGTACGCTATAACGAGAACCTAATGATGGCTATAAAGGAAACGCGAAAGTCAAGGGTGACATGGAAGGTCGTATCGAGGCTCTTTCTCTTTCTCTCTTTCACATGCATACGCTCTCATTCTCTCTTCCTTTCTCTCTTATTCCTCCCATTGCATTCTCTCGCGAGCACGTTTTCCCGCCCAAGGATTGCATGATTCCGCAAATTACAGGATTTCTAGCTCGTGCGGCTTTTTCGTCGGCGAGGGGGAGAGGGGGGGGGGGAGGGGGGCATCTACTTTCTTGATTCCCCCCCAATTATCATTCCGCACTTGTTTACCTATCGGTTTGTGACCTCTCCAATTCTTCTACGTTATTTCGCCTCACGATTTCAGATCAGACAAAATTTCCTCACTTCATTTAATCGGATGTATTACGTCGGTCTGTACTATATAGTCAATATTTTGAAAAGAAGCATTTTATTTTTAAATTCAAAACTATGCACTTTTGTAACGATGACATGTCTGTTCTATTTTTTTTTTTTTTTTTTCGAAATTAGTTGTCGGAAATGTTTACCTCGTATAGCATCCCTAGCGAGAAGACGACTTGAAACGCATTGTACGCCACCAGGACTCCTCTGAGTTTATATGGCTTTTTGTTTGCCATCATACGCGGACCGAATATGACCACACCGTACAGGTAAAGGAGCACAATAAGGATTGTCGGTACAGGCGAGTCCATTAGCGGCCAATCGCTGACACGTGGATCGGAAACTGTCGTGAGGATTTCCGTGTACTGATCCAGCGCCATTCTGACCAGGCCCTGGGCACCTCCGAAAGTCCTATTCGAATCCGTCATCTCGATCCTCAGCTCCGGCTCTCTCTCCGCTACCAATTCCGCTGCCGCCGACGCCATCTCTATAAATGCACAAATCAATATTAAAAATATAATTATAATATATAAAATTTAATTGAGAATCAAGGAAAAATTTGAATCTTTTGCACTTGAACCAGATGTTTCTGAAGAAACTTCTTATACACTGAGAAAAAAAAATTTGTTTCATCTTACTAAAATATGTAGTCCGATACGTTCAACTAAATATTACTACAATGACACAAAATAATTTGTTATTAGTGTAAACAAAATACTACTTTCTTTACTAAACTATTTTGTTTCAACAAAAATTTATCGTATTTAACTCAATTGTTTGATTAAAAATACACACTATTTGTTATTCCCATCAGCATCGTTTAGTCAATGTGATACTTGGAATTTGAACAAATATATTATTATATATACGGATAACTAAATAACATGCAAACACAAATAAATACTATCATAGTATTTCGAACAAAATAATTAAATTGAATTGCTTCAGTTAATTCTTGATTGAAAAATTTTGATGGTTGATGTGAATGAATTATACCTTCCTTTGTGCAACTAAATAATTGTTGAATCAATCATTGGATCAAACAACTATACAAATTTAGTCCGTACAATTTTTTTCTCAATGTAAATATCGATGTGTTAAATTTAGAATATTTTTATTAATTTAGTACGTTTTATATATTGCACAAGAGATGAGTGATACAGTTAAAATATTTATTTATCAGATTGATTAACAAAGAAACAATTTAATACTCTTTGTAGTGATGTAGGTGAATGCATATATATTTTTTATATCTATTCGAATATTATTAAATTATGAAGATCATTTTCCAGGAAGATCGTTCTCTTTATACATTTTCCTGGAGGTCAGTTAAGCGTCACATATAACCGAGAGTTGCGAGCGAGCATTTTTTATAACTTGATGAAGGCTTAATGCGTTGCCAAGCCACTTTTCATTTAGCAACGAAAGAGTTAATGCCCTGGTAAAGCCTCATGGAATTCTAGAGCCTTGCATATCAAGGCAAATACCCGGTCCAGTCCGGTTTATTGTCGGAGCTTGGCCCTGGCGACCTATATTCGTACAGGTTGTTTAGTTCGGACCCGACTTGGACACGGATTAATTTCTTGTCTCGGCTCGGGTAAGGTCCCTTGATGTTTGGTATTTTCTAAAGTATCTCTACAGTTATCTCCGCTGGAGTAAACAGTTGTGCGCAAGAGTGTGCATATTACTTTTAATGAAATAAATTCATTTTAAGTGAAAATTTTTATAAGAACGTCAATAAAATTATCTATTTAATAAAATAAAAAATATATACGTCATTAAATGGGATTTAAGAAAAATTGATTTTTCAAGCTTAGGACAGACAAATATTTGGAAAGTTCATTTTTTTATTTAATTACTAAAAATGTTTCTTCTCTCGGAAATTTATCTTCTACATATATGTACGTTCTGTCAGAAATTCATATGTTGAGCTGAGGATTACAGCAATCCTGCAGCAATCGGACGGGATTCCCGGATAACTCTTTCCGCTCACGTTTACGCGCGCGATTACATATACGTGTCATCCTAATCGTCGATCAAAGACTTCGACGTAAAACGCAATGGGTCAGGAAGTTCGTCGCGAACGTCATTTAAGAATCCCGGCGTTTGTCGCGGAGTCATCGTCGCCGTGCCGCGCGCTTTCGCTGCGACTTTACGCGCGGATGTGAACCGGTCTCCTCTTTCCCTCGCTTTTGGTCCTTCTCCTTCCATCGCTCCTCTCCGCAGTTTCCTCCTTCGCCTCGTTTTCTACGCGGCCTAATAAATCACCTGTTCTCGTCTCTTTCGAGCGAGCGTAACGATGTCAGGGGGTTCGCAAATGCAACGTCGCGCTGCAAAACGCGCAACGTGCGAGAAATTACGAGCGAATCTTCACTTCATCTCAGCCTGCGTTCTCGAGAGAGGAACAATCCGTGTTTACGAACGTTGTATGATCTATTAAATTGCGATTAGGCGCCATTTAACGAATATCTGATCCGTTTAACGCAGACTCGCCGTACGCTTAATGTAGCATATTACGTTTCGCAAAGAACTCAACAGCTTAAAAATATGTTAGTAAGTAAATTGTAGATAAATGTTTAAAACAAAGTAAATTAATTTCATTTTGAGTGTACACATTAAATAAATTAATTTTAAAATAAAAAAGTACACATGCGTTAGGTATTGATCAGGTATACTAATCGTGCGTATCGCTGCATTTAGGCGAACAGAACAGATGTGATTCCTGCTACATGCTAAATCGCACGCATCGTCATTATCCGGTAATAAAGATAACGATGACGCGTGCGATTTAGCGCAGAACTAACCGCTGATTTCTAACGATTTCTCGACAGTTTCTTAGGATTGAAGCTGTCGAATACGATACGATTTTAATGCCCGGCGCAGACTAATGGGTGTCGATGAATTAACTCTTTAATTTCCAGCATTGCGGTGCGTGCACTGTATTTTTTAATTATGTATTACGCTCCACAAATTGCTATATATGTTCTAATATCTATAAAGCAGATGCTTTTAACGTGTAAGAATAGATTATACATCCGAAAAGAAGCTTGTCGAATTTAAAGGAAATTCAGTTTAGAATTTCTCTTTCTCTCTCTCTCTCTCTCTCTCTCTCTCAGTTTTATAATTGGCATAATTTTTGTTACTTACAAATTATAATATGTTATAGAAAAATCGTTTCTAAATGTCTCTAACACAGAGTGAAATTTACAACGGCAACATTTTAACTGCACGATCGCCAGCGAAACAGAAGCCATCATTATTGACTAGCCACGTGAAACGTGCCACGTCAAACATAAAAAAATATGTAATTTATATGTATTTATACATATGCATGAATCCCTCTTGTTTTACACATTGAATTGAATTACTTCTTTTCGATACGTTTCATTTTAATTTACTTCCACACGCCTTCTAATGGAAACATCTGCATCTTTAAACTTCTAACCACTAAACTGCTCGTTCAACTGTGACCAGTAATCGTTTATTTATTTCTGCGTTTGCAATTCGTTCTTACGTATACATGCTCGGAAAGAAAGAAGATACACACAAAAAGAGAGATTAACAGGAATAAACTGCAGTACTTACCTAGTGAGTTTTACCGTAGATGTACATTAGAGATTATCTAGCGAGTTTTACCGTAAATATAAACACGTAATAACTCGCGAATATTTGATCCTTTTCGATAAGTTTGTCGCGGAACAGTCGTGACGCAAATGATAATTTGATATCGCCCACCGACTGTTCTGCATATCTCTCTCTCTTTCTCTCCGCGTCTCTTTCTGTCGCGCCGTAACACACTTATCGGGATTTAGAGCTTGTCACTATTACTTATGTCGTGACTCGTGTCGCCGGTGGACAGAGTATTAAATTCATGAATGACACTTTCTCGCCGTCCATCAGGAAAGAAATCAATTTCGTAATCTTACGGTACCACGCCGCACACATTATGTCGTACGGTCATTAGATTGCGTTTTCGTGGATCTGACGACTGTTTGGCGATTATTAGCGATGAGTCGCGCGAACTTTCGCGCATAACAACTGATTCGTGTAATCGCGGCGGCGCGGCGGCGGCGGAGACAGTTTGGTTTCTATCGTATAAGAGCTCGTAATCGCCTAAATCGTTTTCGTCGGTTTTCTCTTCCGCGCCCGGTTTAGATCCCACGTAACCACCCCCGATTACAACTTTGCTTGCTTTTTTTTCTTCCACTGTCACGTCGGGTGGCACCGGCTCATCATGGCGGAAACGCCGCGTAAACATCTTTGCAATTTGTAACACTCGATCGCTCATGATTTCCGTCATTCATGACGTAATTATGACTTGACGAGACATATGTTATTATTTTTACAAGAAAGTTTCGAGAATTACGCCTGCGGAGAGATAGAGAGAGAGAGAGAGAGAGGGAAAGAAAGGGAGAAAGGTCCGACGATATCTTTATATGATTTCTGACATAAGGTTGCTCGTGATTTCCGTAATCGTGATGCAACTGTAATGTCTTCCTGCTACTAGAACTTTTTAAAGAATCATCTCATACGTAATAATAATCAGAAATGACCGAATCGTTAGTTAAAGTTCCGAGAAATCGCACGTTCTAAAGTATACTAGATTTAGAGAAGAGGAGAAAAGTTAGATGTGTACTTTACGAGCTTCGAGGGTAACGAATGACTGAGTGGGCGAACACGTTGATTCGTAATTGACGATTCCGGATTAGATCCCTTACCCTACATATACCTCGATTTTATGAGGTTTATTAGAATATAAATTTCTATAAATTAGAATAAAAATTAAACAAGTGAGAATGAGGCTAGTGAGAGTCTCAGAGCGGTTATTAGTGCTCAAAAAATAAATATATTGACAATGATTAAAAATACATTACAAAAACGAACGTCTCGACTCCCTTTGGAGTCATCCTCACACGGAAAGAACGATTTTGTTGAAAGGTATAAAAATTTTGCTAGAAACAGATCTGAAAATAATTTTTTATTAAATCATCGAAATAATTTGTTGGAATGTTAAAACTGGTCAGCATTGCTATAAAACGTTTTGATATTCTAGTAATCATTTTGATTTTTGCACGAAATTATTTTGATTATTGAACAAAAATTATTCTCAGATTTGGATTCAGCAAAAGTGTTCTTTCCGTACAGCGTACAATATAATAATATTTGGAAGCAGTATTTGACCATCGTCTCTGCCCGGATGAGTCAGTCACTGGCGGTCACCAGTTCCCGCAATGGAATTCTTGAGATTTTCAAACGAAACAATTCCAAGTATGAATTGTTTCTATGCAGAACAATGATTGAAAAGAAGCTTTGAATAACTGAAAGCTGTTACAATTAGAAACCACCTAATAATTCAACACTTTATAATTAAATTAAGAAATAACTGTCAGTCCTCATAAGGAACATTACGTTATTCCGTATTTATTTATAAAATGTGGAATTATTATTAAATAGTTTTTAATTGTAAACAGCATTCAGTTATTTACA